ATCAGGGGCAGCAAGTTAGAACAAAGATCAACATGAAATTCTGCGTGAAACTGGGCACATCTGCCATAGACATGATTCGTCAAGTTTACCGCGATGCTGCAATGAATTATCCGAAGTGATTTGAGTGGTATGCGCACTTCAAGAGTGGAAGGACATCACTGAAAGACAACAAGAGATCAGGAAGACCTTCAATGCATCCAGCCCCGAAAATGTCGAAACCATTCAGCAACTTGTGCATGATGATCGTTGGTGAACAATCCAGAAGATTGCTGCCATTATCGGTGTGTCATACGGAACAGTCCAGGCAATCCTCATGTGTGATTTAAACATTCTCCGTGTTGCTGTCAAGTTCTTCCCTAGGCTGCTGACCCAGGAGCAGAAGAAACCGCATCGAAGTCTGCCAAGAACACCATCGGCGTGCTGTGGATGACCTGTCCTTCATGTCGAGGATCATTACCGGTGATGAAACTTGGGTTTCACACAGAATTCCACATTTGGCATTTGTTCCAACTTGCTGTCCATGATGAAATAGCAGACATGGTAAAGCACGTGGTCAGAATAGCACTAGTTGCCCAGCTCCCAGTGTACACAGGACGATGTTTTTTGGCATACTGGCTTATGAAGGTCGGTGCTCCCTGTGACTGTGCGTGCAGCCTTGTGCTGTCATCTGTCGGCATGTTACAAAACTAGTCTCGAAATTTTAAGATACTACCTCATAACTGGAATCATTCTGATAAAAAATTTTGTGTGCTAGATTCTTCTTGAGGTAGGTGGATGTATCTAACAACACCTATGCGTTACGGAAGTTTGGAAGCCAAGATATACATTTTTTTTAATGTTTTCTGTACAAACTATTTCTTTCTAGGCCTTTTTTTTTATTTGGAAGATGAGGGGTTGTGAGTAAAGCAGACGTCGTTCACATGGGGAGTATACATCCATGCCCATGTGAGGGCTGTTTTTACACTGTATGGGGATACACACGTGTTCCATGCATCCCCATGCAGGCAGTCCCATTCCGGTCAACTGGGATGCAGCTGCTGTGGGTAAAAACTGGCCCCCACATGGGGCACAGATGCATAAGCCCTATGTGAATGATGCCTTTCCCACCACAAACGCCAGGTTCAGCAGGCCCCTCTTTCTCCTTTGGAGCGCTAACCTTTCCTCCAGGTGTCTTCAGTGCAGTCATGTGACATCACAGGTCCTCTTCATCCTCTTTCCTCCATCAGTGGGCAGACCCTGAGTATAGATGAGTAGAGTAAGTATAAGGTACAGATCAGGTTGGGTGTGTATAGCATTTTTTTCTTTCCGATAAATTTTTAGTGGAATAAATTTTGTAAGATTTACATTTGTTACCGCTAACAAATATATTGATAAAAGCACAAAACCAAAACTTGTGATTTAGGAGCTTTTTTTATATTTTGAAGACACTGGGAACTACACTATATTGCAAACTATTGGGACACCCCTCCAAGTCATTGGATTCAGGTGTTCCAATCACCTCCGTGACCACAGGTGTATAAAATCAAACACCTAGGCATGAAGACTGCTTCTACAAACATTTGTGAAAGAATGGGTCGCTCTCAGGAAGTCAGTGAATTCAAACATAGTACCGTGATAGGTTGTCACCTGTGCAATAAGTCCATCCATGAAACTTTCTTGCTACTAAATATTCTGCTGCATCCAAGCCCAGGGGCGGACTGACCATTTGGAAACTCGGGCACTACCCGAGGGCCCGGGGTCAGTAGGGGGCCCCATGAGATGCCCCTGGTACCTTTTTCATAGGCTTTTTTGAGTTTGGGCAAGGACACAGGGGCCCCATGATCCCCTATTGCCCGGGGGCCCCATGAGTTGTCAGTTTGCCCCTGTCCAAGCCTTATATCACCAAGTGCAATGCAAAGTGTCGGATGCAGGGGTGTAAAGCATGCCATCACTGGACTCTAGAGCAGTGGAGACGTGTTCTCTGGACTCAGTCTGGCAATCCGATAGACGTGTCTGGGTTTGGCGGTTGCCAGGAGATCGGTACTTGCCTGACTGCATTGTGCTAAGTATCAGGTTTGGTGGAGGAGGGATTATGGTGTGGGGTTGTTTTTCGGGGGTTGGGCTTGGCCCCTTAGTTCCAGTGAAGGGAACTCTTAAGGCATCAGCATACCAAGACATTTTGGACAATTTCATGCTCCCAACTTTGTGGGAACAATTTGGGGATGGCCCCTTCCTGTTCCAACATGACTGCGCACCAGTGCACAAAGCAAGGTCCATAAAGACATGGATGAGGGTAGGGTGGAGGAACTTGACTGGCCTGCACAGAGTCCTGACCTCAACCCCATAGAACATCTTTGGTATGAATTAGAGCGGAGACTGTGAGCCAGGTCTTCTTGTCCGACATCAGTGCCTGGTCTTGTCCGACATCAGTGCCTGACCTCACAAATGTACTTCTGGAAGAATGGTCCAACCTTCCCATAGACACCCTCCTAAACCTTGTGGACGGCCTTCCCAGAAGAGTTGAAGCTGTTATAGCCACAAAGGGCGGGGCCAACTCAATATTGAACCCTAAGACTAAGACTGGGATGCCATTAAAATTCATGTGCATGTAAAGGCAGGTGGCCCAATACTTTTGGCAATATAGTGCATGTTTTAATTGTTTGCCCAAGTTGGAGTTAGGCTTTAAAGGTGAGCTATCATGAGAAAAATACTGTCATGGCTGTCCCGTCCCTCTAAAAATGCTATCTGCCTGACTTCCATACCTTCTGACTTCAGTAATCAGAAAAAAATGAAGAAGGGATTCAAGGACCTGGTCTGTCTGAGATCTCTAGCAGATTTTTTAAGCATATATCACCCTTGGTGGAAATGGATTGCTGTTTGGAGTCAGGAAGGATGCCCTATTTTTTTTTTTTTGCCTTCCTCTAGACTAGATCTACAGAACAATAATTCATTAAGCAGACGCAGGGAGCCTTTGTTATACAGTAGGTGACAGGGGCGGACTGACAACTCATGGGGCCCCCGGGCAATAGGGGATCATGGGGCCCCTGTGTCCTTGCCCAAACTCAAAAAAGCCTATGAAAAAGGTACCAGGGGCATCTCATGGTGCCCCCTACTGACCCCGGGCCCTCGGGCAGTGCCCGAGTTTCCAAATGGTCAGTCCGCCCCTGGTAGGTGATTTATCTCTAACAATTGCATCTTACTCCAGGCTTGCCAATGACTTTACTGAAAATCACTGTATTTATTTACAGTTCCTTATGTATTTCTATTGTGCCTTTGCCTATTGCTATAGATATCTTAGATTGTAAGCTCCAAGGAGCAGGGCCCGCCTGACCCTCTTGTACTGAACTGTATTGTCTCCTGTTATATTGTACAGCGCTGAGCAAACTGTTGGCGCTATATAAATCCTGTATAATAATAATAATAATAAATCTTAGATTGTAAGCTCCAAGGAGCAGGGCCCTCCTAACCCTCTTGTACTGAACTGTATTGTTGCTGTATTGTCTCCCGTTATATTGTAAAGTGCTGAGCAAACTGTTGACGCTATATAAATCCTGTATAATAATAAATATACCTGTATTAAAAATTGTAAATATTGTATATTAGATACCTTGAAAGCTAAAGCTTAGGTATGCCAATTGTTACAATTACATTTGTCCAGTTTGTGCCAATGTAAGTATGCATGTGCTATACCTGTGAAGTCAGAAATCAGTCTAGTAGGCAGCATTACTACCACTAGCTTCTAAAGTCCGGTCCCGGGTGTCTGCCGTGCAAGAAGTCGCTAACTCGGCACAGGCACCATTCAGGGACCACTTTTCATTTCCTCAATAAATGATAAGCATCCTCTAATTTAGACAGGATGCAATTACCCTACTACTGTAGTTACTCTTTGATGTTTGGGAGGAAACCAGAGTATCAGAAGGAAACCCATGCAGTGTCATGGTTGGGATTCAAACTGACGACCTCAGTTCTGCAAGTTATAACCTAATGTACCACTTGAATGTTTTGTAGATTGAAGCTCAAAGCATCAAAATTCGCAACAATCTGAGATCAGTCTGATCAGATACTTTCACAAGCCGGTAACGGCTCATTTACCCAAGACCAAACCCGGAAGAGACTAAATCCTTGTTGCTTCCGGTTTCTGATGTCACATAGTGGGAGGAACATCAGCTCCTTTCACTGTGTCCCAGGAAGTGTTTGCTGCCGGTCGCATCCTTACCGGGCTTCCGCTCGGACCACTTTTATATCAAACAATGAAAAAAGAAACTATACTGGGATCATGCTTTTTTTTTATCACAGAGGACAAAAAGATACCAATGTGATTACTTTACGGTGACAGGTTCTCTTTAACCACTTGTCTACCAGGCACTTATACCCCCTTCCTGCCCAGGCCAATTTTCAGCTTTCAGCGCTGTCACATTTTGAATGACAATTGCGTGGTCATGCAACACTGTACCCATATGAAACTTGTATCATTTTTTTTAGACAGATGGAGCTTTCTTTTGGTAGTATTTAATCACCTCTGGGTTTTTTATTTTTTGCTAAACAAACCAAAAACAACTGAAAATTTTGAAAAAAACAAAACGTTTTTTCTTAGTTTTTGTTATAAAATTTTGTAGTGATTTTTCTGCTTCACTGATGTGCGCTAATGAGGCTGCAGTGATGGGCACTAATAGGCTGCACTGATGGGCACTGATAGGTGGCACTAATGGGCATTGACAGGCATCACTGATGGGCACTGAAAGTCAGCACTCATATATGGCACTGATAGGCGGCACTGATAGATGGCACTGACTGGCACTGACAGGCAGCAATGACAATGACGAGCACTGATAGGCGGCACTGATGCGCAATGATACGTGGCACTGATTGGCAGCACTAATAGGTGGCACTGACTGGCACTGATTGGTGGAACTGACTGTCACTGATAGGTGGCACTGTAAGGCAGCTCAGATTGGCACTGATATGTGTGGCATTGATGTGCACAGGTAGGCACTGATATGTGGCATGTGCACAGGCAGGCACTGATATGTGGCATTGATGTGCACAGGTAGGCACTGATATGTGGCATTGAAGTGCACAGGTAGGCACTGATATGTGGCATTGAAGTGCACAGGTAGGCACTGATATGTGGCATTGAAGTGCACAGGTAGGCACTGATATGTGGCATTGATGTGGCACTGATGCGCATTGGCAGGTGGCATTAATGGACACTGACAGGCAGCACTGCTGGGGCTACACTGATCATCAGGGCACACTGATCATCAGTGCCCTGATGATCAGTGTAGATGTCCCCTCCGAGGAATGCCGATTACCGGCTGTCCTTTCTTCTCAAGCTGTCAGTGTGACAGCTCGTGAGGAGAGAAATGCCGATAACCGGCATTTCCTTATTTACATGTGATCAGCTGTGATTGGACACAGCTGATCACATGACCGAGCCGACGTCTTCGGCTATTTACGTTGATCGGTGATCCACTGTGTCCGAGGGACACAGCGCACCACCGATCGTCACGCGCCCCCGGAGCCTCGCACACGGGGTTAGAGTGGGAGGACGTCATATGACGTCCTCCCAGAACGAGAGAACCGCCTTGCACCCGTTATTTCCTTATATGGCGGGCGGGGGGCGGTTAATGAGACCCCTGATGTCTCCCCTGTGCTCTACTGAATGTGATGCAGTGCACATTATATTCTTTCCCGGCCATACTGGCCGTGGAAACTATCAACGGGGACCCGGAAGTGACATACAAGATAATATGCGTCCGCTCTCCTCCCACCCTTCTACCCTGCAGCGCCCGCTATGCTGGTCCCGTGCACACAGATGGGCAATTGTAGCCAGGGATGCATAGCAGGGGGCGTACGGGGGGGTTACTTTACCCCTGTGTGGAAGCAATCAGGAGGCAGCGGAGCCCTCAGCAGTGCTGAATGTAGAAAAAAAAACCTAAAAAAAAAAACCGGGGTGCAACTAGTCATGTGACTTTGGACCTCATGACAAGTCGCACAAGTGTGAATGGGCTCTAAGTCACATGACCTGTGAAATTCCATGTTAGTCAACGAGAGCTGTCTTAATTAGCCCTACTGAAGTCGCCCTGAATTTAGCAAAGGTCCCCGTAGTACTTCAAGGCGACTTCAATCCAACTTGCGCCAATGGACTTTAATGGAAGTCACCTCCAAGTGGGATCCTCCTTTATACTGATGTGATTTGGAATTGACAGGAAGATTACCCAAGCAAAGTCCCACAGCATGAAAGTCGCGCATCGAAGCCGTACTCGTCGCCAGGACGTCGCCTGGCAGAGCTGCAACTTTCAAGTCGCAGTAGTGTAAACCGAGCCGTAAGGGCTATCAAAGGGTTAACTGTGTGCCCAAGGCCAGCCATATATGGGTCGATTGCCAAATGATTTTTCGTTAGAAAATCGGACCTAAGAATAACCGGCTGATTTTCGCTCTGTTAGTGGGGCAATGGTACCAGCCGATTTTCGTGGTTCCTCCCCATTTCGCTTGGAAAATTCGTAAAAAACGACCGATTTTTGAAATCATTGGTGGCACCATCGGATTACAGAACAAAGTTTTTGATCGAAAAATCGTTCGGAATTCGACCCCAGTATGGCCTACTTTACTGTGCTGATTTAACTAAGCAATGTGCCGGTTTTTACTCCCTGCTTTGCAGGGAGAGAAAAAAACGCACATCGCAGCTGTCTGTAGAGAGCCTTGTGTTGTTTTCAAACACAGAGCTCTCTTCTGCTACTCGGCACTGCCCGAGGGCCCAGGGTCAGTAGGGGGCCCCATGAGATGCCCCTGGTACCTTTTTCATAGGCTTTTTTGTTTGGGCAAGGTCACAGGGGCCCCATGATCCCCTATTGAGGGCCCAGGGTCAGTAGGGGGCCCCATGAGATGCCCCTGGTACCTTTTTCATAGGCTTTTTTGAGTTTGGGCAAGGACACAGGGGCTCCATGATCCCCTATTGCCCGGGGGCCCCATGAGTTGTCAGTCTGCCCCTGGTCCTAGCCATAAATAAATGGGTGGGACCCACTGATTGGCATGTACTGGAGTGAATGGCAGCACAGCCGGGGCAGCTGGTGTGTGCGCCCCCTACCCAGACTGCATACATGTGGGGTCGCTCTGCTGCAGTATACCCGCGGTAGGTGGTCATTAACCGAGTAGCCTTTTGCCACGTTGAACCTTTGCGCATTTTTTTTTTTTCCGTGTTTTTCCACGAGTCTTCTTCCTGCCTTTGGGGTGCCATTAACAATGAACGGCACCACAGACGCGACGCACCGTTTTCAGCTGAAACACGCAATTTAGCGTCTATTTACCAAACGCCCAGGCCTCGCCCACCCCTAGCGTTTTGAAACGTGCGTGTTTTGTGTGGTAAATTAGCTCATGTAGCTTTTTCATGTTTTCCCATTTTGAACCTTGCGTGTTTTTTTTTTACCGCGCGTTTTACTTCTCCTTTTTTATGCGTCTTCTTGCCACATTTGGGGGCGTCATTAACCATGAATGGCAATGCAGCTGCGTTTTAGCGCGTTTCATAAAAGCGCAAAAAAGTGAATTTTGCGTGCGGTTACATTAACATGTGTTGTATTAATGTCAGTGGTCTTCCGTCGCACAAAAATATCCCAATTATTGGACGCGTCACCAAAAACTTTTGTCCCAAAACATGGCGCATTTTGGCGCTAGTCAGAGTGAATATCAGCACAGGTACCATGGTGGTCATGGCTACAGATATCAATAAAGGGAGGAGGGGACTGGAAATAAACTTTTTGCCCTCCCCCTGCTGGTGTGTGACCAGGCATAGCTGGCGTCCCAGGCCAGGAGCTGAGGCCGGTCGCCGTGCCTGGCTTTCTATGACTCACGCAGCCTTCACTATAACTCCACCTGGCCAGGTGAACCTGAAATCGTCATTCTAGGGCGGTGCCTGGACCAGCCATTTTTCTACTGGCTGAACTTCATTTGACTGAGATCGCCGCCAGCCAATCACCTTCCTCTGTGTGAACTTGTACCCAATACACAGTCTGTCCCGGCAGCAAAGGGAGAGAGCAGATTGATCGACGGTCGCCTTCGCCAATCAGCTTGCGCGGGGCGGGAACGGAGCGGCGAGAGGACGTGAGATTGATTTCTGTATCGTTCAATAAGAGTAGAAGGAGGGGGAGGGCGCTAGAGTAGGGGCGGCTCTTCATTGGTCGGGCGGGGGAGGGGGTGTCGCTTGTCAGTAGGCTCTGGGCTGAGGGTTTAGTTGTCGGAGTGAGTCCGGAGCGCAGTCACGGGATACCACCGCCTCCTCCAGCGCCTGGCACCGCGGGGTAAGAGGACCTGTCCCGCCTCCTCCAGGGTTGGGGCTCACTGGGTATCATGCTGGGCGGACTGGGCGCTTGCTTTGGGCTGCACTGGTGGTGGGAGGGCGGCATTGGCATTGTCTCAGCCTTCATTGTTTCGTATGTCGGGTCTGTGGCTGCGGCTGGTGTGTTTAGGGTTGGACATACACCATGCGACCTGTGCGATCTTCTATAGATTCACCAAACCTATATAATGTGAGGACAAGTCTGAACTATTCAAGAAGGCAAGGAGGATATCCAAAGGTGACTGTCCAATCAATCGATTGTATGGCCACCTTTAGAAGAGACTGTCCAATCGGATTGTATGGCCACCTTTAGAAGAGACTGTCCAATCGGATTGTATGGCCACCTTTAGAAGAGACTGCCCAATCAGAATGTATGGCCACCTTTTAGAAGAGACTGCCCAATCAGAATGTATGAATGAAGAGACTGCCAATCCTTTTACCTTTTAGAAGAGACTGCCCAATCAGAATGTATGGCCACCTTTTAGAAGAGACTGCCCAATCAGAATGTATGGCCACCTTTTAGAAGAGACTGCCCAATCAGAATGTATGGCCACCTTTTAGAAGACCTTTTAGAAGAGACTGCCCAATCAGAATGTATGGCCACCTTTTAGAAGAGACTGCCCAATCAGCCTTTTAGAAGAGACCCCAATCAGATTGTATGGTGTATGGTCACCTTAGAAGAGCTTGTACGATCAGACAGTTTTAGAAGAGACTGCCCAATCAGAATGTATGGCCACCTTTTAGGTCAGAAGAGACTGTCTACTGGCTTGTACCTTAGAAGAGCTTGTACGATCAGACAGTATGGTCAGTGTCTACTGGCTTGTATGTGGGACTTGTGTTCTTGTTGGAGATCAATGATATCCATAGTCTGCTAGTCCTGGTCATGGATCAGATGGGACGAAATTCTTGTCTGGTCACCCTGGGTGGACAAAATGTTGAGGGCTGGGAGATTGTATAGGTAGACCAATGTCTAGAGATTGGATGGGTGGACCTTTGTAGTCCCCATGTGTTTTAATGTTGGCTGAGATGATCACCTAGAATGGCCAATTATTTCCTCGGAGGTGATCTCGCTGAAAATGTGTATGTTGGAAGAGTATCTAGTGTTCCCTATAGAGATCTCTGTATGTTCTAGATCAGACATTCTCAACCAGGGCTCCTTCAGAGGTTCCTTGAGTCGTGGCTGGTTGACTTCTATTTGATGGTGCCTGCGTAGTTTTACGACCAATGTCACTTGGAAGGGCCAGTTGTAGGACACCAATGAACTCAATAGCTGTCTCTAGGGTTGGCATTCTGACCTCCAATGTAAGGGCTTTCTTTCCCTCTGGCCGCCAACGTGAGGGACGTCGTTCTTCCCTCTGGCCGCCAACGTGAGGGACGTCGTTCTTCCCTCTGGCCGCCAACGTGAGGGACGTCGTTCTTCCCTCTGGCCGCCAACGTGAGGGACGTCGTTCTTCCCTCTGGCCGCCAACGTGAGGGACGTCGTTCTTCCCTCTGGCCGCCAACGTGAGGGACGTCGTTCTTCCCTCTGGCCGCCAACGTGAGGGACGTCGTTCTTCCCTCTGGCCGCCAACGTGAGGGACGTCGTTCTTCCCTCTGGCCGCCAACGTGAGGGACGTCGTTCTTCCCTCTGGCCACCACAGTGAGGGACGGCGTTCTGCCCATGGACTCTGTGATTGTTTGTTTTTTATTCTTTTTAGCAGGATCTTGCCTAGACCTCAAAATTCATTTAATGGTTTAGCCATTTTTAGGGTTGGCATTCTGCTCATTGACCACCAAAGTGAGGGACATCCTTGCTACTATCTTCCAAAGTACAAGGGACATTCTCCTCATTGACCACCACTTTAGAAGGGAGCGCTCTCCCCACGGCCTCCATGATCAGTTGTTTTAGCAGGACCTCACTAGACCTGAACATTCATTCAGTGGTTCCCATGAGGTTAAAAGATTGGGAAAGTCTGCCCTCAGTTGTGAGTGGTGTAATCTTAGGATCTGATCCTTGTGTCTTTGGCCAATTTTAGCGTTCTCCATGGTTTATGTGTTAAGAACAAATCCTGACTTTGAGCTTTGGCATCTGAATTTGATATAATCTTGTCTAATCTCACCTGGAGTTTTGTGATCGCGAGCTTCAGATTTGCCCTGTGCCCTG